ATTGTGATCCAGTGAGAAGAAACCAGGAACAAACCACAAATACAGAAACACATCAAATTGTGATCCAGTGAGAAGAAACCAGGAACAAACCACAAATACAGAAACATGTCAAATTGTTCACCAAGTTATGATCTAGTGAGAAGAAACCAGGAACAAACAACAAATACAGAAACATGTCAAATTGTTCACCAAGTTATGATCTAGTGAGAAGGAACCAGGAACAAACCACAAATACAGAAACACGTCAAATTGTTCACCAGGTTATGATCCAGTGAGAAGACACCAGGAACAAACCACGAATACAGAAACACGTCAGATTGTTCACCATGTTGTGATCCAGTGAGAAGAAACCAGGAACAAACCACAAATACAGAAACACATCAAATTGCTCGCCAAGATTCAGTTAGAAGAAATCAGGAGCAATTTTGTGACAGAGAAGTACACCATTCGTATCGCTAAGATCGTGACGTGTGGTGTATCTGCTAGCAACCAACATACACTGTGTGGGTGCTTGTTTAACCCAGGCATATTTTAAAATATGTTATTATTTGGAGATTTTGATAGACTAACGGTAAAAAATGTCCAAGTGTTTACACTAAGAGTTGTCATTTTATTTGTAAAACTATTTCAGCATCAGCTTTTCCCAGCAATCTTATGTCACCTGCAAACTCGAATAATTTGCAGCTTATAAATGTCTTTGTTCCGTTGTACTTCTGGTCTATATAAATAACTTAATTTTGTTCAAACTTTATGAATAGTACTAAAAATATATGTTAAGCCTGTCATTCAGTTTATCACTTGACACTGAGTTATACCGGTTTAATTCCACTTTTCACCAGTTTAATCGTGAACAAGGGCTTGTTATTAATAATTCTATTGATATACATAATAAACAACAAAAGCCCTAAAATGGACATCTGATAAAAAATTTTTACTAGCAATCATCCAATCAGAAAATTGTTTCTTTATTAATATTTCCTTTCTACTATTAAGCAAGTTTTCAATTTGTTCAATCTAAACCATTACAGATAGATGATAATGTGGAAATATTATTAAATACAAATAAAAAAAATAAATTATGTTTCCTTTGTAGAAATTATTTAAATAGTGAACATAAAAATATTATTAAAGAATGGTAGAGACAACGAGATTTAGAGGTTAACTCTTGATGTAATTTCTTTTCTAATTTAAAAGGTTAGAGAGCGGACACACCACTTGTTGATGGAGTTGTTTCTCGGAGCAGGAAGAGAGTATTGCCAGGCACAACACAAGTAAACTGTCAACAGTTCCACCCTAACTTTGTATATATATATATATACAAGTGTTTGATTTGACAATGTGCAGTAGCTGTATGGGGTAAATAGTGGACATAATCCTTGGAAAGTGAACAATGGTGGAGTGTATGGTGCTAAAAAGAGTGGCTGTGATCACTGTTAGAATCGAAGGCTCTTAATTCATATTGTTGTTTTTTTTCTGATGGTAATTTGAGATTTAGCTTATTTTGTTTTCTCATTATTTTTCCATCTTTAAGTAACAACCTTTTCTTCTGTTCTGTAATGAACATTATGAAACAAAAAACAATGCGGCCAGCGCCATCAGAAATTTCCTTCAAAAATATGCGGTTTCTTATCATGGACCGACCAACAGATTCAACTATTCCTGGCTTTCTAGAGGCAAGTTTTTGTTAATAAGTACTTTAAGCTTATTCCTAACTATAAGTGTTACGTGCATCAAGTTTCTGATGAGCATATTTCATTTGGACCACTGTTAGTTGGGTATTATTTACCAAACTAGACTGTATTTGTTGTTTGAATTAAATCTTCATAATCTGAAGGTTGTATGGGTAAGATGAATAACACTGTAGTATTGAAGGTTATATGGGTAAGATAATTAACACTTTGCAATGTTGAAGGTTATATGGGTAAGATGAATAACACTTTGCAGTGTTGAAGGTTATATGGGTAAGATGAATAACACTTTGCAGTGTTGAAGGTTGTATGGGTAAGATGAATAACACTTTGTAGTGTTGAAGGTTGTATGGGTAAGATGAATAACACTTTGTAGTGTTGAAGGTTGTATGGGTAAGATGAATGTTTATTTTATCTTCTGAGATTACATTTCAACAGTAGGTAGAGCATGGACAGACAATGTACACCTTTTTATTTAACACCAAACTAGCATAATTACAATATTTAAATTATGTATAGTTGGAATAATCAGAAACAGGAATAATTATTTTTGTAACAATCACATTAATTGTAATTTCAATTAATTTAGGTGGCACTACTGAGATTCGTGGGTAATTTAGTACATTGATTAACGAGGTTAGTTATCTTGCTCTGCTACTGCTGATGACAACTCGTTCTGTAGGTCTATCACCCTGTTTAAAAAAAAACTGTTTTAACTAGAGCCTAGCCTGTCTTTTACAAACCTTAAACTTTGGTTAAACTTCAAACTTTTATCCAACAATATATTTTCATCTGTAATTCCAAATTGGGCAGAATTTTGGATTAATTTGTCTTTATCAAAAAATTTTATTAATTTTTTGATGCAATTTCTAATGCATTTCTTGAAAGATCCAACTATTAACATTGGTGAAATTTAAAATATTTTCCCAGTGTTATTTTGGGTAGTTTAAATAACCTTCTGACTTTGACGGATAATGTGTCTTGATATTTGTTCTCTGATGTGTATTCCCAGTATTATTTTATTAGACTTCAAGAAATACATAAAAAAGGATAGAAATATATATATATATATATATATTTTTTTTTTAATTCAAGCTTCTCATACTTGCTATTTTCCCTCCAGTATTCAATAATGTTTCAAAAGCAGGAGTTACGAGACAGTTCAAGATTTGTCGTATTCTCCAACACATGACAGTTAAAGTGTTTTTATAATTTCAGGACATAATTCACATAGGCAATTTCCCTTTGTTTAAAAAAAAACAAAAATGGTGGCCAGTTATCCCTATCTAAAATACACATTAATGTTGATAACCTTTGTTTGCAAGAATTTTACTGGCTTTGTTTCTCCCCAAATGAAATATGGTTTTATATCTTACAAAATCCGGGGTAGTGTATAGTAAGTTCTCTTCCTTCTGTAGAAAACCTGTACCTGTAGGTGTCTAAAGTTCAGAGTTGCAAACAGTTTTTGCGTGTGTGTGTGTGCTCACCATCGTCATGAGACTCATTCATTCATTCCATTTATCTTGTACATGTGACAGTGATTCACCCTGTTTCCTTTTTATTTTCGTGATAGTATGACATTCTCATGTAAGATAATAAATTTCTGTAAATGATAACGGCTGGTGTTTGGACCTGTAAAAGTTACAAAGTCCAGTTCCATGTAGTTGGATCATAGATGTTTAAATATACGTGTATTGAGTGTAATGTATTGTTAGAATTATTTTATTTGTTCCAAGAAAGTCCAGTTATGTATGGATGGATCATGGTTATAGGTGTAGATGGTTATGCAAATGAAACTTAGAAATTATTCAGATGAAGAAAAGTATTTTTAATTTTAAGATGAAAATCACTTTGCACTTGGAGCAGTCGACACCCTGACTCCGTATATTCACTGACAAATCTCTAGTAAAAATACTTAATTAAAAAAATCTGATTGTTTGTGTACAAAAGACTTGTAATGTTTACTGAAAGTTTTCCAAATTCTGTGAAGATACACAAAATATATTAAAAGTTATTGTTTGTAAAGTGGTGGTTATTTTGTGGTTACAAGGTTGGTCACGTCGGTGACCCCATATTTTGTTCTGTGTGGTTCATCTGTGTTGATGGTATCTGTTTGAAAACTGTTTTCCTTCTTTTCATACTCACTTTGTATCATTTGTTTATTGGAATTAACTATCCTACTACCATCATTTGAATGAATTTCAAAAAATGTAAAAAAAAGACCCAAAAATTGAGAACTTTTGAATAGTGGACTATTGTTCTTCAGAAAGAGACTAGTCTACTTTTTGAGAGCACTCAAGTTTTGGGTCTTTTTTTAAAATTAATTACACCTTTTGTGTGTGATCCTGTGTGCTAACTTTTTATCAGCATTAAAGATATTGGTTAAGTTAAATTAATTAGAACACGAGCATGTATTGGCTGGTAGAGTAGGGCTTTTTTCAGTAATTCTCGTAAACTTCCGTTATATTAGTCGTGCTATAATTTTTGGTTTGTGCACCTTTTTTTTTTGTGCTTATTTATTGCATTTTGTCACACTTCCCTATGTTTTCATTCATATTATTTCTCATTACTGTATTGATGACTGGTTGTTTCTCATACATTCCTAAGAGCAGCTTTTTGTGATACACCTTGAATGGCTATCCAGCTCTTGCCTACTGCTTACTCAGCACTTGATTATCCACAACAAAGAAATATACCTTTTCTAGATGACATTCAAACTTCATTGTTGGAGAAACACATCCATCATAGTCTTTCCTGTCCTATACCTTTTTTTTTAAGTATTTTTATTCAATGTTCCCTTGAGTCAATCAGCCTTCCATAGTGACAGTGGTGGGGACCATTAAATCGTTGGACGATGTATGGGGAAGAACTCGACAGTTCCCTTTTACTTTGACGCAAGGTGTTGGTTTCCATTCACTTGTGTCCTACGCATATGTTTGTCACAGATTATCTCCTGTAGCATCCTCTTAGCTATCGATCTTCTAGAACAGTGGTTCCCAACCTTTTCGATTTCACGGAATTCTTCTGGTGTTAGATTTGTGTCACGGAACCCTTCACAGCATTCATTACAAAAAATATTACTGCAATACTATATAATAATTTCATTAATTTTCAGTTGTAACTGTTTGTGAATACTCATGAAAATATGGGATATATATAAAACAAATAAGACACTTAAAAAACCAACGTACAATTATTATAGTTGTTGCTTTGCATAGCTTGTACGCGCACACATTTTTTAATGACTGATTTGTTGTTACTTTCCCTCTATTATCCTTTCGAATCGAGGAATGTGTGAGAACACGGCATCAAGATTTCCTGTAAGACAGTTTCGTGACTTAATTTTGATTTGAATGAGGCAAGAAATCCCTTTTCACAAAGATATGTGTTTAGGAATTGAACGAGTGTCTTCAGGGCCATTTCAGAAACAACACGAGTATCATCTTTTGCTAATAATGACATCCAAAACTGTCCTATATTTCCACCTGCGTTATGAAAAAAATTCTTTGTTGTAAAACTGCTGTGGAGTTCAGTGAGAGGCTCAATGATATCTGTGTTTTTTTGTACCATAATATTCTTCTCAGAAAAGGGGTCGAGTATACATTATTTCTCTTCTGAAAGGTACTTGATGAAGTTGTCATCAAGGCATTCAGATGAAGGGATACAAGCTCTCGCGCATCTTTATAACCCCAGTTGGGAAACACTATTCTAAAACCCTTGATGGTTCGTTAAACTTGTCTTCAATTTTTTTTTTTCTCTCTGCTTCTAAGTCATGTTGTTTTGATTCTTTTTTTGGCTGAAGATCATTATTTTCCACTATCTTCTGTTCTGGATGTTTTGAAACTCTTCACTCTTCTTGAACAGCATTTACGTCAGTGCAGCCTTTTTTTGTATGTATAATTTTCATTGGACTAATGTTGAATGTTCTCACGTTTGCAGGAATGAGCATACTCTGAGTTTAAGTTGAATGATGTGGCTTTTTTGGATCTTTTTTTATTAAGAAGAATTATAGACATGGTGGGGTTTTACTCTTATTGTCCTGTACACTACTCTTCATTAGGCTCCAACTTGGTTCATGTAGATCGTTGGGGGTTGATTCCATGGAACGACCTAATTCACTAAGCATGCTACATACCTGTTGGTTTCATTATACTGTTGTCCACTTCTGTTAGTATTATGACACTACTGTCAGCGCTGTCAATTTATGTTTGGTTTCATGGCACTGTTGTCAATTCCAGTTGATATTATGACATTACTGTCAGTGCTGTCAATTCATTTTGGTTTCATTATACTGTTGCTTTTCTACAAAGAACATTGTTTTATATTTGAAGAAATGTAAGAATTAAGTTTTATTTTACTGTATTTTTACAAAAATATTAAATATAAAATGAAACACTGAAAAACATTACACGAAGGAAGACAAGACTTTGTTGTAATGATTTGAACAACCACATTATATCTAACAAACACCATGATTTGTTGTCTTCAAAAACTTGTTCTATACTCCCTCAAATATACACGTGTACTGGGTGTGGTACCATTTTTCAGTTCGGTTACGTTCAGCCAACATGGGTCATATATTAACTAGAACAACCTTGTTCCCTCTTTGTGAAAACAACCCTCATATGACAGAATAGTTCCCCCAAAAAAGGAGTGTCATGACACCAAAAGGAATGAATCATACCATTATTATACCAACATAAGCAGTGCCATGACAGCAACAGAAGTGGACAGCAGTGCCATGACAGCAACAGAAGTGGACAGCAGTGTCATGACAGCAACAGAAGTGGACAGCAGTGCCATGACACCAAAAGAAGTGGACAACAGTGCCATGACACCAAAAGAAGTGGACAACAGTGCCATGATACCAACAGAAGTGGATAGCAGTGCCATGACAGCAACAGAAGTGGATAAAGTGCCATGACAGCAACAGAAGTGGACAGCAGTGCCATGACACCAACAAGAATGGACAACAGTGTCATCACATTAATAGGAGTGGACAACAGTGCCATGACACCAACAGGAGTTAACGAGTGTGTTATGTAAGTTATACACTGAATCAAGTACTTCCATGAAGGATTTCATTGGTGAAAAAAAGTCCCTTGATAATCAAGGCCAAGTAATTTTTTTTTTGTATGCTTGTGAACTTCTTAACATTGTGGTTGGTTGCTCACCACTAATCAAGTTTTCTTTAGCATTAGGCTTAGCTTGGTTCATTCCTTTCAGTTTTGTGTTCATGTTTTATTTCAGGCATTAATTAAGCAGTGTGTTAAATATATGATTTGGGTGTGTAAAGACACTAATCACTAGATGTATGTCATGAGTTAAGTGAGTGTCATATTAAGTGTATGGACATAAATTGTAATGGTACCTATAGTTTGTTTTGTGAGTAATTAAACAGTGTGTTAAATATATGTAGCAAGGGATTGTGAAGGTAACAGTAACTAGTTTGTTGAAGAATTAAACAGTGTGTTAAATATATGTAGCAAGGGATTGTGAAGGTAACAGTAACTACTTTGTTGAACAATTAAACAGTGTGTTAAATATATGTAGCAAGGGATTGTGAAGGTAACAGTAACTACTTTGTTGAACAATTAAACAGTGTGTTAAATATATGTAGCAAGGGATTGTGAAGATAACAGTAACTACTTTGTTGAACAATTAAACAGTGTGTTAAATATATGTAGCAAGGGATTGTGAAGATAACAGTAACTACTTTGAACAATTAAACAGTGTGTTAAATATATGTAGCAAGGGATTGTGAAGATAACAGTAACTACTT